TATCCTTGTTGGTGTGGAAGGGGCCCAGTGGGACCTCCTGGCGCACGGAGCTCGAGTACTGCACCAGGCCCACCTGGGCCAGCTGGTCTGACACGTCCAGCGTGTCCACGATCTGGTTGATGAACTTCTTCACCAGCTCAAAGTTCTCCGGCCGCACGCTCTTGGAGCCGTCGATGAGGAAGACCAGGTCGGTGGCCGAGCTGCCTCCGCCACGGCTGCAGACTGGAGAGTGGGAAGGGTGTGGCCGTCAGGCAGAGGTGGCCTCCCAACCATTGAGCGGGCCCCACCGCGCGTGGAGCTGTGTGCTGAGAGCCACCCTGCTCTGTCCCCGGGACTTCCTCTATAATCAGGGCCCCCAGCCCCCCCGTTTTACAGCACTGGAAACAAGAGCTAGTGGCTTCGCTCGGGCTGCTCACAAGATCTGAGCTGGTCTGCAGCGCCCCCCCACGCTAATGCCACTGCGCGGTGAACTGAGGGATGGGGTCAGAGACAACCCTGCAGACACTCTGGCAGGTGTCTGTCTGAAGACGGTCCTGAGGGAAGTGCAGGGGCCCAGCTGGCTGTCCCAGGGCCGCCGAGGACCCCCTAGGCCTTCCCAGCCCAGCACTGACCATTGCAGGTCTTGCCGTCACTGTTCAGGGTGAAGCCCTCGCGGCAGGCACAGGCGTAGGAGCCCGGGGAGCTGATGCACACCTGCTCGCAGTCGTGGTCCCCTGTGGCACAGAGGTCTGACACCACTGGGGACAAAGGGGGGTTCAGATGCACAGCCTTGGACACCCCAGCCGCCTGCCCATCACCAACCCGGCCCCTGGCACACTCCGAGGCCGAAGCACCCAGCCAGGGACCCCCAAGCCCCAGACTCCCAGCCCAGGGCGAGAACCCTCACCAGGACCAAGTCCCTGAAGGAGGTGATAATGCCGATTATGAAACAATACGTCCTGCTGCAAAGGCCAAGGCGTAGGGAGCGGCCTTTCATCTGCCCGGCTCCTGCATCAGCTCAGAGTTCCCAGGTAAGGCATGGGCTCCCAGAGCCAGCCACGGGAAAGGCCCTGCCTGGTCCCCTGCCCCCGTCCCAGAGCCTCACTCCGGGCAGGCCCATCTATCCTCTGGAAGGACCTGAACCTTCTACCAGGGCCCAAGCCCCTCTGACCTTCCCGCATCACAGAAAACTTTGACGCCTCAAACCCGAGATTCAGAAAGAACCACAGGGTTTTGGCGGCGATCCCCTTACTGGGCTCCTACTCCTCCTTGGGACAGGGCGCGTAAAAAGGCTCCTGACCTCATCTCTCCCAACTCTTATATGCCCAGGCTGGGGACCCGGCCCGAATCAGGCTCCACCCCGACCCTAACTCAGTCTGACCTAAGCCCTTGTCCCAGGCCCAACTGGCTTCCGCACTGCACCCCCCGACCTGGCTTGCCCCGGACGCTGTCTCTACGTCTGTCCTCGCCTATAATGGCCATCGCCCGGCCGGGCCTGGACTCCTGGCTTCGGCCCCGCCCCAGATCAGGCCCCGCCCCAGATCAGGCCCCGGCCCCGCCCCTGTCCGCCGGCCGCGGCCGCACCGCAGAAGGCCTCCTGGAACTTCTTGGACAGCTTCTCGATGACGCTGTAGCTCTCCACGTAGTCCACGTGCTCGTCCGGTGGCTCGCTGGCGATCTGCCGCAGCGTGGCCTTGTCCACGCGGCCCACGCCGATGGCGAACACCTCGATGCCGCCGGCCCGGGCCCGCGCAGACACTTCCCGCACGCTGTCCTGGGGCCTGCCGTCTGTCACCACGATGGCCACCTGCGACACACGGGGATGTGTGTGAGGACCGGGTTCTACCTCTCCCGGCAAGACCGTGTCTCTCCACGGGTTGGGACTTGCTGAGGACCCCGGCTACTGGCAGCCATGCCACAGTGAACGCGCCTGGCCCGTAGGTCCCTGCGCTCGCTGGGCCCGGGCCTGGCGGCTCCTGAACTGGAGGCTCCGCCCGGGTAGAGACCGCCCGGCTCCGAGACCAAGCCGCTTGGGCCAAGCGTGTGCACCCGCCAACACCGTGCAGTTCTGCACCTTGGCCACCAGAGGGTGGCAGAGGCTGGGGGATGGTGGCTGCGGCTACTCCCGCCTGGCCATCCTTCTCCACCAGGCAGGGGATCCGGCCCTGAGAAATACCCTGGTTAGCACCCAGGAGGGACATGGTGCCCGGGTCCCACCACGTCCTGGATCCGCTGGGCCCGTTCAGGGTCCTCGCCCGGTCTGCAGCCCCCTCTCCTCTCCTCTGCTTCTGATCCTGGGCCCCAGCCCTTATCCCCAGGGCCTGAGCTGCTCTCCTGGTAACCTGAAGGTAGATCTGGGATAGGAAGGGGTGGCATGGTGGTTAAGGAGGCTGTATCTTCCATGACCGACCAGCCGGTTCAAGTCCTGAACCCAGCACCTTGAAAAACATGCCTGGTGCAGCTAAAATCCCGAGGAGAAGGGCCTGCAGTGTGGCCATTTCCCCCCCAGGGGTGCTTTCCTGCTTTCCTCTCTCCCTGCATACGCGTGGGTGAGCACATGCGCCTAGGACTGAATTAATAATACATGAGCAGGTGCGGCCCGCGGTGCGGGTCTCTCCCAGCCCGCGAGTCCCCCGTAGGGAGCCGGTGATCAGGCAGGGGGCTAGGGGGGACGTCTGCGAGGGAGGGGTCTCCACGCTGTACCTGCTCACCACCGCACCCTCTGAGGCCCCCGTCCCCCCAAAACTCAGCTCGGAGACCATTGTCCACCTGTCAGTCCCCCCACAGCCGAGTGGGTTCCAGACGGGTCACCCGGTGTCCAGCCCAGGCTGCCGGTGCGATCTGGTGTGGGCCAGTCAGCTCTGGAGACAGCTGAGCTGGGCTGTCACGAGCACCACTTGGGCCACCTCTCTCCGTGAGGACCACTGGTCATCCTCAACCTGGGCCAGCAGCTGTCTGAGGCCGTTTCCGTGAAGACAATGGCCCCATCTGAGCACCCTCCCCGGTCTCCAGCCGGGCTGGCCGCTGGGGCTGGAGAAGGGCGACAGAGCCCAGGCAGGGTGGCCTTCTCTCGCCTCCTGCATAGTGGGGAGTGGAGCAGGAGGCAGCTGGGGCTGGGGGGTTGCAGCTGGGGCTGGAGTGGGGCCCACACCTTGCTGATGTCCGGGGACCGCGTGCGGCCGCCCTCGGCATCACTGAAGGCCTTGGAGATGGCGAACTGGATGGCCAGCCCCGTCATGGTGCCTGTGGACAGCGGCTGGATGCGGCGCACGGCCTGCAGCAGCGCCGCCTTGGAGCCGTGGGCCCGCAGCGGGAACTCCTGCTTCACGGCGCTGGCGTAGTTGACCAGGCCCACCCTGGTGGCGTTGGGCCCCACGTCCAGCGACTCGATGACCTGGGACAGGAACACTTTCACCTTCTCGAACTCCACAGGCCGCACACTGCGCGAGCTGTCAACCACAAACACCAGGTCCGTGGGCCGGGTCCGGCAGAGGTGCCCTGGAAGGGGCGGAGGGGCGGAGGTCAGGAGCCGGGCCTGGACAGCCGGGCCAAGGAGCACCGGGGCCACCTCATCTGGTTCAGCCTCTGGAGGACACTCGGGCGAGCGTCCTGGCACAGGCCCGGCTGTCCAGTGGGTGGGGAAGACAGAGGGGCACAGTGGGTGGGAAAGACAGAGGGTCAGGTCCAGCCGTGGGCCGTGGGCCGTGGGCCGTGGGCCGACCTCACAGGATGAGCATGAGTGGAGGTGCGAGTACCAGCACAGGCATGCCTGAGTGTGCGGGGCCCAGAGGGCACGGCGGCCTTAAACTCACTTCACGTTCCAGCCCAGACGTGCTCCAGAAACAGGTCAGCTGCCCTTCCTAGCTGGACAAGAGGACGCTGAGGGTGGCCCCAGACGGGTGGGCTCGCAGGCCAGAGCAGAGCCCCTCTGAGCGCAGGGCAAAGGAGCAGTAATTCCCAGTAGCCACCTTGGCAGCCCGGCCAGCAGGGCCCCAAGACACCCCTGCCCACCCCCCAGAGGAGCAGGATCCTTCCAGACTCCAGGGAGGCAGCACCATGCTGGGAAGTGGTGCAGGTCTGGGTTCAAATCCCGGCTCAGCCACTTTGGCCCTGGGCCCCGGTTTCTCTGTCCGGGGAGAGACTAAGGCTTCAGGAGGCTGTGAGTCCCGAGCCTGCAGCGGGGCCTGTGCTCTCTCACTTGCCTGCACGGAGCAGGGCGGGTCCCAGGGAAGGAAGGTGCAGGGCTGCCCCAACTCCACCTGGCGTGTCCCAGATGGGGCGCTGCGTCAGAGTACTCGAGGGACCTGCGAACTCACCTCGCGAACTCACCCTCGCCCACATTGGTAACGGCTACAGAGGGGTAAACTGAGGTCCAGAGGAGGAGAGGGGGCTGGCCGTACCCCAGAGTAGTGACTTGGGGTCCTGGAGGCCCTGGGCTGTGTGGTCTCAGGGCCTCCCTCTCCATCCTGTCTCCCCATCTGAGCAGGGGCAGTGGCATGCTCGGATTCAGTGCCCAGGGCTGAAACTCGAGGTGGTGCAGACCCTAGGGAGCCCCGTGCTGGGAGGGCTGTCAGGGGAGGCTGAGCTCTGGGCCCCACATCTGCACTCATCTGAGAGCACAGCCGTAGGCCTCGGCCACGCTCCACCCACAGTCCCTGTCCTGGGCGAGGCCCCAAGTGCCTAGGGCCCCCGCCCGGACCCTTCTCAGCACCATGGCTCTGCCTGCTGGACCCCCACCTGGCCCTCTCCTCATCCCGGACCGCTCCTCAGTGTCCAGCCCCCAGGCTGTCAGTCCGGGCCCTCTGACCTGTGTCCCCCATCTACACGGGCCCCTCACCTCTGGGCTGGAGGCCGAGGCCGCGTGGGGCCCAGAGCAGCAGCAGACCGTAGAGCGCCAGGCTGGTGCCGGGGCTGACCCTCATGCTTCTGGCGGTGTGGACAGCCAGCGCAGCTGTGGGGGCCGGTGGGGTCCCGGTCTTATCAGCCTCACTGCCGTGGGCCCCAGGGGTGGGGCCAGGCTGAATGGAGGTGTGTGTGCCTGGAGGGGAGCCACGCCTGGCCGGGCCTCCGAGGCCCCGCCGACCACAAGGGTCCCTTTGCCTGAAGAGGCAGCCTGAGCCGCTGGAATTCGGGAAATCTCGGTGGGTGGGGGCACCTCCGGGGGCTGGAGCCTGTGCTGCCTCGAAGCTGCCACCCCAGCCCGGGCATCCCTGGGTCCAGGGGCTTCGTGCCAGCCTGGCCCTGCCCTGCACCATCCTCCCACACCCAAGTCCCCCCACCTGCAGCTCTGACCTGGCTTCCTCATTAAACATGCTTCCCCTCTCCGCCGTCCGCTGCCGCTCGCACGCCCTTCTCTCCAGCTACCCCTGGAGCCTGGCACACGCAGGGCACTGCCCAGAGTGCCCGTCCCTGCACCCACTCTCTGCCTCGCAGACTCTTCCGGGCCCCAACTGGGGAGCACGTGCACTGCCCGTGAGCGCAAGACAGCAGGGGTGGCCAGGAGCCAGGCGGGCAGGGCACCCTCAGTTCACTGCTCACTCCTTGCGTGGCCGTGGGTAAGCTCCTTCGCCTCTGGGAGCCTCAGATTGCTCACTGGCCGCCAGGGGGACAGCGGTGCCTGCCTCCGGGTGGGAGGGGCAGGAGCACTGCGCCGGCATAGCGGGAGTCCTAACCCTGCTCCAGAAGAGGAACCGGGGAGCAGACAGCCCCAGCCGCCGGCCTGAGGTCACACTGCCAAGCAGGGTCATTGCCAGGACGGCGCCCAGACATGGCACAAGCCTCTGGGTAAAATCAGTAAGACCTGGGCCAGCAGGTGGCAAGGCGGTTAGGGTGCTGGGCTCCCACAGGGCTGACTGCGGCTCGAGTCCCGGACCTGGCACTTGAAAGTCATGCCGGGCATGTGTGTGTGCATTCCCCACATCCCTGGAGATTGAAGAAGGGGGTGCAGTGTGGCCCCCCCGGGGGGTGATTTCTCTCTCTGTCTCTCGCTGTGTCTCTCCAGCAAGCACATGTGCCCTGTACCAAAAACCTAAAAAATAAACAAGATTCATGTGGCCACATCTGTTCAGTTTTATACGTGTGTAAACGTGTGTACGTAGGTGTGGCTGTATGTACACACAGATACAGATACGGGGTGACGTGCACACACGTGTGTAGATACCGGTGGGCGTGTCCACGCGCTGAGACAGATACAGGGGTGACACGCACACACGTGTGTAGATACAGGTGGGCACACACACTTCTATTGTGGGTATTTACCCTCTCCCCAGGCGCCCTCCCCGAGCTTCTCCGCCCTGTCTCCCTCCCCACCAGAACTAAAGGGGCGGGACCAGGGGTGGCCCCTCTGGCACACCTGCGCGGGACAGAGCAGGAGCCTGGCTGGGCCGCCTGAGTCAGGCTCTGAGCCGCTGTGTGACCAGAGCTGCTGACCCACCTCTCCGGGCCCGGTGTGTCATGCAGGGCAGGTGCTCCCGGGCCGTGTGCGGAGGCGGGAGGGCGGAGGCAGAGATGAGCAAGGACGGCCGCCAGCCCCCGGCAGTCGGGCACTCGGCCTGAGCGGCCGCCAGCGCCCCCCACACAGGAGGACACAGACGGACTGTGACACACGGTCCTCGGTGCGTCCCTCCTGGCCCAGCCGCTCCTCTTCCCTGTGCCTCCCCGCCACACCTGCGGGCCAGCAGGCCCACCGCGGCCGCCCCTCTGTCAGGTGGAGAAACGGAGGCCGAGAGGCTCGTGGGCTTGCCCGCAGCCCGCAACCCACACGGGGTCCGAGCTAAGCGTGGGGCACAGGCCCGGCCCTCGCCCAGGGTCAGAGAGGGGGGGCGCTGGCGGTATTTTCCGCCGACTTCATGGAAGTCCTGTGTGCAGATTCGCAGCCTGGCTCCTCTCCCGCAGCACCCCTGCAGGCTCCCTTCCTCCAGGTCACCGTGACCGTCTCTCTCTCCCCTGGACCAGCAGTACGCTGTCATCTGCCTTCCCCAGAGCTGCCAGCTCCCTCGGAGCAGGGGTCTTGCCTGTCACAGTCACCCTGGACTCCTTGGGACCTTGCGCGGTGGTGTGGTGGCCTGGCACCTGGCGCCTGGTGCCAGGCATCCCGTGAGCGAATGAAGGAACAAAGGAGAAGGAAAAACAGGCAGCTCCGTTTCCCCCGGGCCGCGAGGGGTCACACGGGGTTCAGGGGGGCCGATCCGCAGGAAGAGAGGCACAGTGCTGCCCGCCCCGTCAAGGTGCAGTGGCAAACATAACCTGGGCGGCGGCTGCCCCCTCCCGAGGGCCAGGCCTGTGTCCGGAGCGGGGACGCCACTCTGTGGGCCGCGGCCGCTGGGACTCTGAAACGGCCCTTTCAGCCCGGGCCTGAATGGCGGTTCTGTGGGCTCCTGAGGAGCACAGCGCTCCTCTGTGTCCCCCCGCCACTCGCAGAGCCGCAGGAAGGCACAGGTCGGTCCTCAGGAGGGTGTGCGTTCCAGCAGCGGCGCTGACATTCCGTGGCGGGGCCGGGCCGGGTGCAGAGACCTGGGAGCTCGGTGCACACTGAGGAAGGAAAATCAACATTTGTGCTTTAGAACGTGAAACGCTTCCCCAGGACTCAAACTCGGGAATGGTGTGTCCGCAGTTTGCCGGAGGAGAACTGCACTGGGGGCCTGCCCAAGGCTGCTCGCGAGTCCCACAGGCCGCCATGAAGGGCCCTGGTGCCACACCTCGGGTCCCCAGGAACAGCAAGCCCTCAGTGTTTTACCCGAGCACACCTTGTGACCAGTGAAGCGGCCCCGGGCTGTGTGGCCTGGTGGGAAGCACGCCAGGCTCTCGCCCCGTTCTCTCCCTGCAGGGCAGCCCCAGCTGTCTCACGCTCCTGCGACAACGCGGCCGCGCCGTCCTGGGCAGCACACCCTCCACCTTCAGCACCGCCATCGCAGTCCCGCTGCATCCACATTGACCTTTTACTGTTGTTTACTGTGACGCTAACCCTACACACCTTCTGGAAGTCTCTCCTGGAAGGGGCTGGGCGGTGCTGCGGCAGGACCCTGCGAGCTTGGCTGGGGAAGTCTCCGGGCTCACACCAGGGCTTCCCTGGACACACCAGGCACGTGCCCCGGACCAGGGCTGGCTGGAGCTGTGGGAAGAGCACGGCGTCCGGGGTGCCCGTCTCTGCCTCTCCAGCTATCTCTCTCAGCGTCTCTTGCTAATGAAGAAAGAAATTTTAAAACTTTAGAAATTCTCTCCTCCTAAGAAATGGGTCATGGAAGCCCTGTCTGGATGTGCGCCGCGTACTTAGTCCAAGAGACTGGACAGTGGGGACCGAGACGTCTCCATCCACACGGCATGGTGGCCCAGGCTGCCCAGTGGCACGCGGACCGGGCCCAGGAGTCCTGCGACGCGACGGAGCTCTGGAGTCAGACGAGCTGCGTCTGCATCTCTGTTCTGTCGCCAGGGCGGCACCTGCAGGCAAATCCCTCCTCTTCAGCTCCTTGAGGACCTTCCGAGAGGTCGGGCCCCAGATGCTCTCGTCCCAGGTGCGAGGGTGAGCCGAGAACGCCAGCCGCTGCCCTGTCTCACGTGCCTTCAGGCGCTGGGCAGGCAGATGGGGCTGTAACAGGCACGCCCCACGTCCTGGTGACTTAACACAGGTGTCACCCCTCTCTGCTCAGCCCAGGGGCAGGGCCGCCCTCCTGCCTGGGAGCCCACAGATGCCTCCACCTCGCTGGCCCCCCATTTCCAAAGCTTTCATCTTGGGCCACATGGATGAGAGACAGCAAACGTCTCTCTTCGCTGCTAGATGAGAACACACCGCCTGGCTCCCCTGGGTGCCCAGCCACCTCCACCCCAAACGCAGCCTGGGCCGAGCAGCCCCATCACGGCCTGCTGCCTGCGCCTCCCTGGCCATCTCCAACCTTGCCCGCTCCTGGCTCCCTCTGTCCCCCTCTCTTCCCTGCCACAGAATGAGTCTCCTGTCTGTCCGTCTTCTCACAGAACGACATCCAGTTCTGCTCCAGGTCTCGCTCACGGGATTACATGCCCACGGGCCTGAGAGCCAGGAGGAGCCCCTGCTCTGCCCGAATCGGCAGCGCGTACACAGGAGAGGATCCTGGGGTGCATGGGGCAAGGCCGAGCCCCGACTCTCGGGTGCTGAGGGAAGCTCATCTTACCTGGAGAGGTAGGGGGGCAGTTTGCACCCCTCAGGCAGCTGGCAGCACTCTCCGGGGAATGCCGCCTCCGGTCCATCATGCTGGAAGGGGACCGAGCACTGGGAGAGTGGAGGTGCTCGGTGTGGTTGAAGAGAGAGGGCAGGAGGGCGGGGAGAGCGGGGGTCCACAGGCAAGGACAGTGCTGTCCAGTTTGAGAAAGGTCACGTCGGTGCGGTCAGCGTGCAAAGGCCAGTACGAATGAAGACAGCCGCGGCCCTGCCAAGGCGTGTGCAGTAGCCCCCAGCCTCTCCCGCCCGCTTCTTCAGCAAGGCCTGCAGGGTGGCAGGGCAAGCCGCTGGGAGGTCCGGTGACCCGGAGCCTGTCCTGGCCCTGTTCTGTCTGAGGAGCCACTGGGCAGCCCTGGGCTCTGTTGTCCAGTCCCAGCCTTTCTGAGCACACAGCCCCAGGGAGGGTAAGTCTGTCCCTCCCACACTCCCCGAGACGGACACAACCTCCCTGGAGGAGCTGGGGACACTTCGGCTTTGCCCAAAGCCCTCTGGGAGGAACCCAAGCGCCCACCAGCCACGGGGCGGTCATGGGGCCTGTCACAGTTGTGGCCGAGGGCTCCTGGCTCTGGGCTGTGAGCTGTCGAAGGGAGGCCATGGAGCTCCCAGGCTGACCCCGGCCTGGAATGCTGCCCCGCCCAGCACACGGGGCAGGCCACTCGGGCCACCAAGGCAGCCATGGACCTGCTCCCAGGCGGGGTCCCCTCACCTGCTCGGTACGGCAGCCCGGCTGCCGTGCCCCGCCCAGCCCATGGCTACGGACTGCTCGAGAAG